TTCTTGTTTTGCAAGAATTTCCCACAGACGGCGCCAATTGTTTAAACAAGAAATAATTTATCCTAGAACGGAGTAAAAAATGGGAATCAAGCAATATAGAATCAACTATGAAAGAATTGGTAAAGAAAGGAATTTGATATATGATGGTCAAGAAGAAGGATCTTCACAATATGCTTTTGAATTACAATGTAGAGACTGAGTGTATGTGTATTCGTCACTGAATGTGTTGATTACATAGAGCCTCTAGATATTTATAAGAGATACATTTAATGCACTTTTGTCCGTTGACGACATGTTCCGACCGTTACGACGACATGTCCGACCGTTACGACGACATCAATATCGTCATTATTGCATCATCAATTCTGGTCAGCCCTTTGAGTAACCTATGTCATAATTACAATAATTACTCTAATTATATACATAAAACTGCCCTGATTTAATTAGCTAGCATTACTCCTAATGAATGCGTCATTGATTGCCACGGTCAACCATTTTTGAATGTAGTCCAAGCCGCCCAACTCGTGTACCAACACAAGTCCTTACATTCATAAAGAAAAGTTTAGCCTGTAGAATAAATGTAGAGTGGTGTAAAAATATACCAAAAAAGTGTGGAGTAAAACACAACATATACGTAGTACAATATATTGAAAGTAGTACAAAGTAAAGTCTAAGACTATTGGGTGTGTATTTCAGCTCAGGTCTCCAACCAAAACAACTCACACACACCCCCCAGGATTGTTTAGCCACTCCACTCACCTTGTTTACCACTCCCTCACACTCTAACTACACACAAAGGAAGGAAGAGGAGCTCACTGCATTGAACTCACCGTGTCACTCAAAAAGAGAAGAGGACCACTCAATTATATTAGGCTATTATTTGCTCATGGGTGTCAAAGACAAACAAAGGTGGGGCTCGAGACAGACTAGCAAAAGTCAGGAGGCCAAGAGACAAATAATACCAAGTCAATAAGAGTTGGCAGCTGATAGGAAATGCCAGGATAGCTAGATCATTAAGAGTGTAGGAAGTAGGAGTAAACATAGGGTGCAGGCCTTAACATAATAAGTGGAAGGGAGGCCTTGGGACCAATACCTCCATTCTCCACCTTATTGGTCCTAGGTGGTGTAGAGTAACAAATACACGGTTGTGAGGAGACTCATCATCGCTGAACCATTACAAGTACATCATTGCGATCATACAAGTAATAGATGAGAACCAAAGTTCCCTTTCGGACGCGACCAAACTTACCATGCAAACCCAATTCACGATGGACTGAACTCTACCAATCGGTCCTCGAGTTCAGGACCAAAACCATCACAAAACTATTAACAAGCACAACACATGTTAATAGACCACGCAAGCAAGCATCCGGGAGAAGTTGGGGATTCCAACTAATCCAACAACCACACAAAGCAAATACAAAGAAAATAAAAGAAACAATATTATTTCTATAACTAGCACAGACAGATCTCACATTGTCACTTGGTATCACATTTTCAAAACACAAACAAAATAGCATACCAAATATCACAAAGATTTTAATTAAAAGAGAATTAAGCACATTTAAAGCAGACTCGGAGGAAATATAGTCAAACACATTGCACATATTATTTCTCACATGCTTCCTAATGTCTCTATCTCTAATAACATGGCAATCACGCAACTCAAGCATATTGCACACAACGTTCATATCATGCTCCACCTTAATAGAAATATTATTTTCTTTATTTTCAACATGAAAATCATTTTCATCCACAAATTTGGGTTCGGTTTCAACAAGTAAATCAGAATGAACATCAGGCAAATGCTCCACCTCATTTGGAGCAACATCAGGAGAAACAAGTAGGCAAGGAAATTCATTTTCAACAAAAATGACATTTATACTCATCAACACATTGAAGCAAGTTTCACTCCTACACCAAAGCCTATAAACCTTTCATGCAATCATGATATACTAAGAAAACATATTCCTTAGTCATAGGTTCAGATTTATCATTCATACGATTCACATAATTAGCACAACCAAACACTCTCAAATTTGGCAAGTCAAGTGGTTTGCCCGTGAACACAGATTCAGGGCATTTCCCTCCTAAAGGAACAGATTAACCAAATCAGCAGCATAACAAATAGCTTCCCCCCACAAATTATTAGAGAGCCCAGCTGAAGCTAACATAGCCCTCACCATCTCTAATAAAGTTCTAACCATCCTCTCAGAAACCCCATCCGGTTGGGGTGTAGAGGGAACAGATTTATGCATAGAAAAACCCCAAGTATCACATAAATCACCAAGCTGATTATCACAGAAATCAAAACTGATAGTGGTCCTTAAAAAATTAATTTTCTTACCGGTTTGTTTTTCAACAAGGGTTTTCCAGTTTTTAAACTTATCAAAAACTTCAGATTTATTCTCAATCAACAAAACCCACACTTTATTTGAAAAATCATCAATCAACGTCAGAAAATAATTTTTCCCACCATGAGTGGAAACACCATAAGGACCCCACAAGTCAGCATGAATACAACCAAGCACATCAGTACACTTAGGCAGATCAGGAAAACTAACTCTAGACTGTTTTCATAGCACACATGGTTGCACACAATTCACAGAATCAAGTACGGGTTCAGCATGACACACATACAAGTTGTTTTTCATCCCAGCTTTGAAAACAACTAAGCAACCCTTCACAACTTTCATGATTCCCTTTCCCCATTTTCCCTTCAAACCCTCATTTTCAAGAGATGCACAAGATAGCAAATTACAGTACAGCTCAGGAACATGCCTAACATTCTTCCAAGTAAGCACATAACCAGAAGAAAACCTAAGGCATACATCTCCTATTCCTAGCACATTGCATTTCTTCTCATTTGCAAGATACAAAGCCATGCTCAATCTCTCTATAGTTTGAAAAAACATTTTTCAAAGGGGACATATGAAAAGTACAACCAGAATCTACCACCCAATCTGATTTACCCAAAGAATCAGATATCACAGAACTCAAGTAGTCAAAATCACATAGATTACTCATCATAAAAACATCACCCAAAGCATCTTCACACGTAGTCAAATTAGCATGCTCACTATGCTCATTTTTCTTAGATTTAGGACAGTCTCTTATGAAGTGACCAGATTCATGACAATAATAGAAACGCCTCGAATTAGACCTAGACTTAGATCTATGTCGTCTACTATTATTTTCTCTACCCCTCACATGCATACGTACTTCCTCGGATTTTCTACCATCACCCATCTGTTTTAAATCTAATTCCTTACTCTTAAGACCATTTACCACAATGTCAAGAGTCACATTATCTCTACCATACTTAATAGCAGATTTCACATCACCAAAGGAATCAGGAATAGCATTTAAAATAGCAATAGGGGAATAATCATCTATATTTTGGTAAAAACATCTAGATTTTCTTCAATATCCATAGACATATCTAGTCTAAATTTGAAGAACTTTTCAAGTAAAAATATCCGGTTAGGCAAAGAGGTCTTAGTATAGAGTTCATTCAATTTATCCCACAGAATTTTAGCACTTTCTAAAATTCCAACTTTCTAATCACAGAGCCAGATAAGTTCAAATAAATCACAGAACATGCATTTTCATTCATTTCAGCCCTTTTATCTTCCGTGTCAGAAATTAAATAGGTTTCACCAACTGCTTTAAAACATTTTTGTTGTATTAAAATACATTAAATTTTTTTGCTTCCAAATGCTAAAATCAGATTTTCCATTAAATGGAGGCATACTATACTGATTATAAGCAACAAAAGAAAATGTAAATTTTGCTGAAAAACAATTTAAATATTTATAAGGCTATTAATATACGAAGCAACTAACACGAACACGTGGGGAGTATTAATGAGCACCAAACTCAACTTCAAACCCCTTGTTCTTCCGTATAAGCACAAATAAATAAATAATTTTCAGCACAACACAACACAACAGTTCTATCAATTTTAACTGCAATAATAAACCTAAAACATAATTTCTACACAATAAAAGACTAAAAAATCACTACAAAAGCGATAAAAGGGATAAAAGTCAATATACCGGAGCAAAACCCTAGGAGAGGCATTTCGACCTTACCCACCCAATTTAAAAAATTGGGATTTTCGGAGGGTTTGATTGGAGTGGACTGCCTGTTGACTATCCGTTGACCAAGTTTGACTGAGCAGTTGACCGAGACTCCTCTGCTCCAGATCCAACTCCAAGTCCAGGCCAAGTTAGGCAGGCAGCTTCTTCCTTCCCTTGTTATCTTTCTACGTACAGGTTCAATTCAGCCCAACAAATGAGCAGCCCAAAGTCCAGTAACTCCACGCGTGAATCCTCCACTTCAGACCCTGCGCTCCAGTCCAAATCAGTAGCCCAGGCCAGGTCCCAAAAACAGTCCAAGTTCTGTTCTGGTTCAGCAACTCAGCAGCCCAAAAGTCAGCTCCCCTTTAGAACGACTCCAACTCCAGCTCCGCTCCTGGCCTGAAGCGATATTCAACGGACTCCAGCTCCGCTCCTGGCCTCACGAATGGGATCCAGCGAAACACAGCCCTCCAGCCACTTGCGTTAACCCCTGCGGCCAGATCTCTGCCTCAAGCCTCTCCTTCAGCTACCAGCGAGACATCTGCCTCAAGCCTCTCCTTTATATAGGGACAAAAATGGAAACAACAAGAGAGAACAAATCACAAAAATGACATAATAACATCAAATGTTCAAAACATCGTCATAATTTGCGTCTAGGAATATGAGGTCGGTGTCTAAACCTTCTCAGGCGAGATGATGAGGGACGAAGTTGAATTCTATTTTTAGACCAAGCATTGGTATCATCTTCTTTATTTGTTAAACCATACTCTTTATATGCCATGGAGACAATGCAACACCATGAAATGTTTTTTCCTACATTACATAATTCTATATACTATGTATAATAAAACATAAAAGTGCTTATTATCCCATGTACCGATGTACGGCACGGGTAAAACTGTAAAAGTAGTAGTTATTGTACAATTCAGTCGCAAAATCAAAGTCACTAAACGAGCTCTTAATAAGTTTATTTTTTCCATGGCTCTTTTTGAAACTATTACACACAATACTGAATTAGGTTTAGCGTATAACATACGTAGCAAGTCTTTACATTCATAAAGAAAAGTTTAGCGTGTAGAATAAATGTAGGGTGGTGTAAAAATATACCAAAAAAGTGTGGAGTAAAACACAACATATACGTAGTACAATATATTGAAAGAAGTACAAAGTAAAGTCTAAGACTATTGGGTGTATATTTCAGCTCAGGTCTCCAACCAAAACAACTCACACACACCACCCCAGGATTGTTTAGCCACTCCACTCACCTTGTTTACCACTCCCTCACACTCTAACTACACACAAAGGAAGGAAGAGGAGCTCATTGCATTGAACTCAAAAAGAGAAGAGAAGCACTCAATTATATTAGGCTATTATTTGCTCATGGGTGTCAACGACAAACAAAGGTGGGGCTCGAGACAGGCTAGCAAAAGTCAGGAGGCCAAGAGACAAATAATACCAAGTCAATAAGAGTTGGCAGCGGATAGCTAGGAAATGCCAGGCTAGCTAGATCATTAAGAGTGTAGGAAGTAGGAGTAAACATAGGGTGCAGACCTTAACATAATAAGTGGAAGGGAGGCCTTGATAGGACTAATACCTCGACAAGATGATATTGAAACAAATACTACGCACGAATGATATGGAAATAACGATCCGAGTACAAAAGTAAACAAGTACTACGTATAACAGATATGCATACATCAAAATTGAAATGCGAAGGTATGTTGCGTTATGCCGCATGGTGGGAAGTAAGTCACTCTGACAAAAAAATGGCTAAGGGACTTGCCACATTATGGTACCCATCAGTCCATGTGATTCTCCCGGAGATGATGCCCCCGACCGGAAACCCCTTAGCTGTAGCATTGACAGTTACCGTGTACATTTTCTTGTCGTACAGCTTACCGAACGAGAGGGACTGCGGTTGCACCGACACTTTGACGAAATTGCTGTTATCTAACATAACAGAGACTTTGTAATTGTACGTTCCGGGTTTTTCCACGACGTTGGTGAGTGTTCTCGTGTAGCTTGCGCCGCCCGTGCCGGTTGTTTTGTCAAACCTAACGGCGAAGGAAGGGTAGTTCAGATCTGTGACACTGAGTTTCTTGCCGGAGGGGCAATTGAAGCTTCTTTTCCTTTGCGCTATAGTTTTGATTTGAGTCGAGTTGTATCCCGATGCACACAAGAAATTTAGGTAATCTTCGACGTTCGTGTCGTACACCAAACCCGGTTCCAGAGCCGCTGTTGGGTTAACGTGACCCGCCCCGAAAGCTAAAGGAGTTGCCGGCTGTCCCGATGCTGCGTCGGTCAGTGGCTTGCCGCTCTTGTAGGAGCTGTAAGCGGTGGTCATAAGAGCCGAGCGGATCGCGGCTGGGCTCCATTCGGGGTGGGCACTTTTGAGCACGGCTGCTAGGCCACTTACATGAGGGCAGGACATTGACGTGCCAGAGATGATGTTGAACGGCGTACTTCTCGAGTCGTCCTCTAACCCGGTTGGACCCACCGAGCCGGTCCACCCGGCTAAGATGTTGACTCCGGGCGCGATGATGTCCGGTTTAAGTATTTCAGGGTTGGCAGTGTTCGGGCCCCGCGAACTGAAAGCCGCAACTACAGGGGACGGTTCTATTCCCAGTTTTGTTCCCTCCACGCTAATAGTGGCCGTTAAGGTTGTAGTATTAATGAAGTAGCTCCTGATTATATCACCGTCTCTTTCACCCACCGCCGTGGCTGTTAACAAGTGAGCATCCGCCACCAGTTCTTCCCCATTTTCGGCGGTGTTTGCCAACACCATACCCACACCGCCGGCGTTTCTTACCACTTCACCCTTTTCAGTCCTAGCATTTACTCCGCGGTCGCAAAGTACGATTTTGCCCCTCACCTTCTTCGGATCCAAACTGCCCTCCGTACAGAGACTTCCGTCGGTGTGGATATTGCTGGCGTTCCCGCCGTAGATAAACGGGAACATCGTTTTAGGCAGCGTCGTGGCATTAGACAGTGAAGCACCTAGAAATGTCTTATTGTTGCCTAGCCTGACTGACGCTGGGAAATTGCGGTCCAGAGTCCCGGCACCGACGGTTGTAATCCAAGGCGCAACGTTGGACAGGGTGCCGTATTTAGGGCCACTGTTTCCGGCCGAGCATGAGACAAAGATTCCCTTCTCCATGGCAGCAAAAGATCCAATGGCAATCGGATCGTTGTCGTAAGGAACCCCGCCTCCGCCGCCAAGGGACAAAGATAGGATGTTGACGTTGTCTTGAATTGCCTGGTCCATGGCCGCCAGAATGTCGGAGCCGAAACAGCCGTCCTTCCAGCAGACTTTGTACACCGCCACTCGAGCACTTGGGGCCATTCCCCGAGCAGTTCCCGCGGCGTAACCGAAAAGGCTTGCACCGGTGACTCGAGATCCGGCAGCTGTGGAAGCGGTGTGAGTGCCATGGCCGTCTTCATCTCGTGGCGACAGCGACTCTTTCGTCTGCTGGTGACTTTTTCGGAAGGACATCGCGCCGATCAGCTTTTTGTTGCAGAAGGATTCGGAGCCATTTTCACACTTTCCCTTCCATGACTTCGGTACCTGCGGAAACCCAGTGTCATCAAAACTCTTACTCTCCGGCCATACCCCTGTATCCAACACCCCGACGACAACATTACTCATCGTCGGATTTTTCGGCCCCGCGGAAAAGTACTGGTTCTCTTCAATGCCCAAAAATAACGGCGTACGGGTGGTATGAAGCTCGTACTTGGTATCCAGCTGCACGGCAAGTACCTCCGGATGCTTTAGCAGGGCCTCAGCTTCCACCGACGTTAATCTAACCGAGAATCCAGCCATAGTATTCTTGTAGGCATACATAATAACCTTCTTCTGGTCATCATTATCCGTAGTTTCAGAAACAGATTGGAGGGTGGACTCGTACCAGGCAATATGGTCTTCTTCAAAACGGGAGGAGCTTTTTGAGGGGTCCATTTGAACAATGTAAGTGTTTTGTGTAACCTCTGCCAAAGCAGCATGGTGGCCGATCAGTTCCAGACAAACAGGAAGTAGTGCGGCCAGAAACATGAAACTTTGGCAGTTGCGTTTCAACATCTGGGATTTCATTTTCAGAACCGGCAAAAATAGGAGTGAAAGGGACAGAAAGTCTAAATATCAATCAGAATGAATATAATGGGGAGCCAGTCCAGGCCAGAGAGAGACTGGCAGACTGTACTTGGAGCATTTTAGGGCAACAAATGAGGCCGTATTTATACAGAATAACTTAAGTTTTCAACCACGATATGAATGATTACTAACGCAATTTTCCAGTTCACTTTTTGAAAATCTAACGCGGTGTTTCTTTTGGACTTTCTCACAATCCTTGCCTCCCACGCTCTTTCAAACGGGTTTTCTAATTTTATTACCAACAAAGAATTAATTATACCATATATATTGTACGTGCTTTAATTCCCTTATTGTGGATATATAAGAATATTGCAATTTCAAAAGAATGTCGGAGGTATGTTCTCCTCTCCTATTTTTGCTTCTCCATTGTTTTGGCAAGTCGTCCAAAACACTCCCGGCCTCTCCTCTTATTGTCCCACGACTCCCACCTGCTAGTCGAAAGCAATAAATGGAGCATTGGGTAGTTTCATTCGATTCAAGACTACTCTTTAAGAGATTCCTACTACCTTGCCAATGAGAAAAATGGGGTATCGTACTTATCGTTCATTAAATTAAAGCTTCTTATGAGACGTTAATGGATTCAAGATACTCTTTAGGAGATTCCTAAAGAGTACTAACTTTGAATGTATGCCTACCGGACCAGCATACTATTATTAAAAGTAGGCTTATTATGTATGTCTACATTTCATTGTGCGTCGCTCTTTATGCGACGTTCATTAAATTAAATGTATGCCTACAAGCATACTATTACTACCTCCGTTTCATTTATATTGTCTTTTACGGTTTACGATGTTTGACCGACGATCAAACAAACAGATCCCTGTCCGCACTAAAATTATTTTTAGAAAAAAAATTACATATTCAGAAACTACATTTAAAGCTTTACAAAGTCGCAAAAACCTGAATCAAATTTGATAAATTTGTTTTATATAAATTAAAAAATTAAGAGTGATTTGTGTTGACCACGTAAATAGGAACTGAGACAATATAAATGGGACGGAGGGAGTATTAAATGTAGGATTATTATGTATGCCTACAAGCTAGCATACAACGTTTCATTCGATTCAAGACTAACGTTTATTGCTGAAAATAAACTATCTAACCTCAGTATTCGTGAGAAAAATAAAAACAGAGTATTGAACTAAAATACTAAAATTAAAGTATGTAATTCCACCTTAAAAAGATGACGAGCACTTTGTCACGGTGCGTCAAAATAATTCGATACTAACACTTATACGTAGTATAGGTGAAGTAGAGTTCGTATCCACAGAGAAAAAAATAATTCTCTTTTTAATAAAATTAGTAAACAAAGGGGGGTTTTGGGATTGAGTGATTTAATTTAATTAAACACGAAGATGAATGACTTATATGAGATTTAATAAAAGGGACTTGGCTTTGCTACTTTCCACTTGTTGATATATTTTAGTCGATCCTTGTTATATCTATAACTTATTTCTTCTCGAATACTCAATCGAGGAGTATATCCAATTCATCGAGGGTAGTTATTAACAACGACCGTTCATTAACAACCCTTACTATTAATCAAATATAGAACAACGTCGTATACCGATTTAATAGTAGCATTTAATCTTTTTAACTCCTTGATGAAATCAATTGAGATTGATAACCTTAACACAACTTTTTAGCCTTTCAAAAAGGGAATTCGACCGAGAGCACCTTCCCGGTTGGTCAATCATTGGATAACCTAAGTCATTCTTTAATAAATGTGTTTCCAAACATTTCTTTTGAAGCTCAAGGGATTATGGTTTTGGTTTAACCAACAAAATTAATCCCTCTTAAGTTTATTATCCACAACCGTGCATTAATAAACCGAAGTTACTTACTTATGAAACCATCAACGATTAACCATCGGTTCGTTGATTATTTCTAGTAATAATTAATGTCGGAACGTTAACTAATCGTCCCTTAGCAACCCTCCAACATTAATATAGAATGAGATTAAGGGAAGAATTAATAATCATGAGAAGAAGTTAAGAAAATAACTCACAACTTTAATAATCAACAAGCTTCAAGAGCAAAACCAAGAAATGAGAGTTTAGCTCCTCATTTGGAGACTAAACATGCTATAAAAATATAAGAAATAACTATTCTAAACTGAGCTTAAGTATATGGGAAAAGGGATGATTTTATTGTGAAGGGAAAGAGGTGTATTTATAGGTGTTTGGAGGTGACAGGGTTGTGTACCCGATTGGATATATAGGGTACCCGATCGGGTATTTTAGGCAGTTTCCCGGAAAATCACTTTTCTAGACATACCTGGTCGGGTATGTAGGCATACCCAGTCGGGTATGAGCCAAATCTTCAAATTCCTGCACGTTTTTTTGTCTCTCCAGATTCTGATTTTGACACCTGAATTAACTCAATACCCAATCGGGTATTGCCTATACCCGACCGGGTAATGAAATATTTTCTCAATCTTCTTTTTATCTTGTCCCCTTGCACTTTCCTTGATCTTTTGGGGTCCAATCTTGATCCTTTGGATGATCTTGACCTGTTTTAAGCTCAGAATAATCCTAATCTAAACAAATTACATCTATCTAGAAAAATAAACTAAGAGCATCCACAATGCTAGAATTTCTAGTCCAAGAAAGGTGTGCCAAATGTCAAATAAAGAAAAGACTTTCTAATCCCATTGTTATGTAGTGGAGTGACGGGACTTTGAAACATAAAAAACGGCTCCATTGCATATAGTCTATGGATGCACTTTAAATGTCCAAATGGTGTTATTATTATAATTAAAAAAATTAACAATCAATTACATATTAAAATAATTATTTCGCTTATTCATACGGAGTACAATATTTGAAGCGGTGAAGGGGTTACTTGAGATATAAAGGGGTGGTTGACTGGTTGAATGATTTCCGCCGAACTTCTAGCTACGTGTGTTTCACCATTTTATTATAATTTGCTGATTCATCAAGTTTACAAGGCTTTCTACACTCGGAAAGCCTGGGTTCACGGTGTGCAAATATTATTTTGCCAAGTAAGCAAAGACTACATACATTGGAGAGAAAATAAGCTTCATAATGTCTAATTTTATGAGGTGGCAACATTTACGTGCACTAGACTACCATGCATTGTGGATGCTCTAATTAATGAGAAAGTGTGTAATTTCTCTAACCATAAACAATAAAAAATAATTAAAAGTGAAACAATACATACTAGTAATAAAATTACAACATTATCAAATGATTACTATAGGTACGTAGTCTATAAAAAAGTCAAAATGGGTTCTCACTTTTATCTCCTCATCTAGCAACGAACTGCGTACAGCTGTTCCTGAAAACTGTTCTCATCCGTAAATGACTCACAGTCCATGCCATCTCCGGATTCCCTTCTTCGTTCTAACTTCTCAATGGTGGAAGACCAAGAGAGTGTTTACGGTTACTTTTATTTAAAAAAATGTTTTTTAAAGTGTTTTTGCAAAATTATTTGATATTCTCCGTCCCATTTTTCTTAGTTAAATTTGACTTTTTACGTCAATGATGTCTAACTTTAACTGATTATATATTTATATAGAGAAAATATTGCTGGTAATATGAAAATGATATGTAAATGTTCTACGAAGACAAGCAAGGGTCTTCTTACTTTCGGGACGCAGGATGAATCGGTGAAGGACCAATGTTGAAGGTTAGTTCAGAATATCGTCAGCATCGTCTTCCTCTCGTTCTCTCTAGTTCTCTCCTCTAATCGGAATAACATGAAAACCCTAATAGACCAACATTCCCTTCCTTGAATTGGACTTATTATGTTCGATCGCAGAGTTGCTTGGACTTATGCGCACTGTTAGAGCAGACCCACAAACTCTATATTTTGCATTTAGTTAGTTTTAGCCCACAAGGCTTTTGTATTTCCATTTTCAACTTTTACTTTTGTAATTCGGATCTTTGGAATTTATATAACAGGTAAATGTTACCCGACACTTACCCCACCATCACTGGTGGTTTTTCGGGCCAAAAAAAAAGATATATACATGTTCTTTGTTAAATTTACTGTGATAAAACAATAAACTTATTAAAAAATAAAAATACAATAAAGTTATTAAATTTTGAATATTAGTTAAAATGAATGTTCTAAAAGGAGCTAAGCGCCAGCCCAGCGCCCAGTGCCTAGGCAGGCGTCTAGGAAGGGACTAGTCGGAGACACATAAATTGTATTTTTATCAATATTTTTGCATATATAGGATAAATAATACATAGTAAAACCGCAATATCTTGTTTGTGTGTATATGAAAAAATATACACACACACATTAACATGCATGAATGATAGAAATGTCACATGAAATAATATATGATAACTAATCACATAACTACATTATGTTATAAATATTACTCCGTGAATAAAAAAAATTAAGTATATATACAAACATATATACGTTTAATCTTACTTTACAAGTATCTTTCTTCATAAGCGTGATTAAAGTTAAAGGTACATATATCTCTTAAAAAAGAAAATTAAAAATAAAAAATTGATTGACAAATCTAGACGCCCTAGGTAGAGATTAGGCGCTTTGGGCGGGCAACTAGGCGCCCTAGGCGGCCGACTAGTTCACCTAGGCATCAAACCAATTAGTGGGAGCGCTTAGACAAAAATCAGGGTGCCTAACCACCGCCTAACGCCTAGGCGGGGACTAGTCGATCAGGCGCCTAGAGCGACGTTTAGAACAGTGGTTAAAGTTATTGGTCAAAGTTTACAGCTTTTACTGGAAAAGTCAAAGATGACTAACTAAAATGGAAGGAGGTAGTAGTAAAAGTTGATAGTTTTGAGAAAAAAGTGCTTCTGAAAAACTAAAAGTTGGTAGTGTTTGATATATAAAATAAGTTTTTTTTGTGTAATAGAAAAAAGTTGAAATCAGTTTATGACACTCCATCTTCTTCTAGTTTTTTAACTTTAAGTGTTTAATTTAAAACAAAGATGTCACTTGAAAACACTTTTTTCACCTTTCTAAGACAAAAGTTGAAAAACACCTTTTTAATTCTTTGCAAACGCTCTCTAATACGACCTTTTTAATTCTTTGCAAACGCTCTCTAATACGTTTTAAAAGTACTTCTCCATATGTACGCGTAATAACATACGGAGTATTACAGAGTATAAAGTAACTTTAATTTAAGGGTGCTTAAGAAGTTGTTTGTCTTATTCTTATTAGATTATTCTTATTTTAATCAGATCAGATCAG